AGATGTGTTCCGGACTGTATGTTCTACATGATGAAGTCTCATCCACTAGCATAAACCAGAAGTTCAGTTTACTTCTTTGAATAGTCAGTCGTTTCTTTGTCTAATAAAGATAGTTATATCATGTTATGGCACTACCGTCTTGGTCATCCAAATTTTGTGTATTTGTCAAAACGGTTTCCTTCTTTATTCTTGAATAAAAATCCAAGTTCTTTTTGCTGTGAGACTTGTCAGTTTGCTAACACACTCGGACTAGTTATTCTAGATTAACATATAAACCATCCAAACCGTTTTCAATGATTCATAGTGATGTGTGGGGACCTTCAAGCATAAACACTATAACAGGAAAGAGATGGTTTGTATCTTTTATAGACGATCATACAAGATTAACTTGGGTTCTTATGCAAAATAAGTCAGAAGTGAGTGAAACTTTTCAGCGCTTCCATTCTATGATTCAAACTCAGTTTCACACTACGATTCAAGTACTCAAAACTGACAATGCCAAAGAATTTATTAATTCTATTCTTGGCACCTATTTGGTAGAACATGGCATCATCCATTTAAGTTCTTGTGTTGACACCCCTCAACAAAACGGAATCGCTGAATGAAAAAATCGACATCTTCTTGAAGTTGCCCGATCTCTCATGTTTGGGACTCATGTTCCTAAAGTTTTCTGGGGGGATGCAGTTCTCACCGATGCCTATCTCATTAATCAGATGCCATCTAAAGTGCTGAAAATTCAAACTCCGTGTCAAACTCTTCTGGAAATATTCCCTCATACAAGGTTCATTAGCTTTGTTGATCCTAAGGTCTTTGGTTGCACCGTTTTTGTCCATATTCATTCACAACATTGTAGTAAGTTAGATCCCAAATCTATCAAATGCATCTTCATAGGTTATTCATCTAATCAAAAGGGTTATAAGTGATACTGTCCTAATACACGAAAAACCTATAACTCTATGGATGTCACCTTTTTCGAATCACAAGCTTACTACAAATCTGAGATTCAGGGGGAGAATGCAAGTGAATCTCACCTTTGGGGAGTAACTGTTCCAAACAGTCATACTCCTATAAAAGAAATCTCATCTATTGCACCTTGTCTTAAACTCACCAGTCCACAACCTATGAACTCAGTCTAAGAACGTCAAGATGTCATAGAAAATTAAGTTCCATTTAATCCATCTAGTTCATCTCAAGTCACTGAAAACACGTCTGGACCGTCACCAATCGTTAATTCTCATCCTGAACCTAAAGAACTTCGTGTTTATCAAAGGAAGAACTCTGAGAAAGAACGGACACATCTACCGGACTGTCATGAATTGGAACTGGATTCACATCCTCCAGAAATGCATTCAGGTATGAGTAATCCTTGTCATGATAGTGTTACTGATATAGATGATGATCTGCCTATTGCTTTGAGAAAGGGAGTTCGTGCTTGCACTAAACATCCCATTGGCAATTTTGTGTCCTATGAAACATTATCTCTATCCTATCAAGCATTTGTTTAAGCTCTTGATAGTGTACAGATTCCTCACACAATTCAAGAAGCATTGATTGATCCGAGCTGGAAAAAGGTTGTACGAGATGAAATCAATGCTTTGGTGAAGAATGGAACTTGGCACATAACAGATTTACCATCTGGAAAGAGACCAGTGGGATGCAAGTGGGTATTCACTATTAAACATAAGGCAGATGGTAGCATTGAGAGGTTTAAAGCTCGCCTTGTTGCTAAGGGGTTCACTCAGTCTTACGGGATTGATTATCAAGAACCTTTTGCTCCGGTTGCTAAACTTAATATCCATTGTACATGGATATTCCACTGGGCTTTGAGTGTTCATCCAACAAAAATAAAGTATGCAGACTAAAGAAATTTCTATATGGCCTTGAGCAATCTCCACGAGCATGGGTTGGAAAGTTTACTAAATCAGTCATTAAAAAAGGCTATATTCAGTGTCAGGCAGATCACACGTTGTTTGTGAAACACTCACAAGATAAAAAGATAGTTGTCCTAATAGTTTATGTTGATGATATAATACTTACAGGAGATTTCAAGGAAGAGCTGGAAAACTTGAAAAGTTTTTTATCAAAGGAATTTGAGATTAAAGATCCCGGTTATCTTAGATATTTCCTAGGCATTGAAATTGCACGATCAAGGCGTGGTATTTTTGTTTCTCAAAGAAAGTATGTTCTAGACTTACTCAAGGAAACAGGAATGCTTGGGTGTAAACCAGCCTCAACTCCAATGGATTCCAACAGAAAGATTGGCTCAGAGACAGGTAGAGCACCTGTGGACAGGGGGAGATATCAAAGGCTAGTTAGACGGCTTATTTATTTTTCCCATACTAGACCTGATATTGGTTCCCTATAAGTGTGGTGAGCCAATACATGAATAATCGAACTGAGGAACACATGGATGTTGTGACAAGAATCCTTAGATACCTCAAAATGACTCCAGGAAAAGGTCTTCTTTTTAGGAAGAATGACAATAAAGAAATTAGGGTCTACACGAACGCAGATTGGGCGGGAGATGTAACTGATAGAAGGAGTACTTCTGGTTACTGTTCTTATGTTTGGGGAAATTTAGTAACATGGATAAGTAAGAAACAGTCAGTTGTTTCTAGAAGTTCAGCTGAAGCAGAATTCAGAGCGCTAGCTATTGGCATGTGTGAAGGATGTGGCTGAAAAGATTACTTGGCGAGCTGGGGGTATTTAAAGAAGGGTCTATACAAATGCTTTGTGACAATCAGGCTGTTATTAGCATTGCCAAAAATCCATTTCATCAGGACAAGACTAAGCATATTGACATAGACAAACGCTTCATTACTGAGAAGATAGAGAACTCCATCATTCAAGCATGGTATATTCCATCAAAATTTCAAACTGCTGACATTCTTACGAAAGCTCTACCAAGAACCGTTTTTGAAGAATTAATTAGCAAGCTTGGGATGTTTGACATTCACAACTGTTAGGGACCCCACTAGTCTAAATGGAGATGACAGATTCTATGGGCAAGTTTATGTACGAAGGCCTAGAAAATAGACTAGTAGTTAGTTAATTAGTTGTTCTGTTGAAAACTAATAACTACCATTCCGTTGTGAATACTATAAATAGAATAAACACTGCAGTGGGAAGGCAGGCTGTTTCTAGACAAGTGTCTTGGCTGGGAAGTTAGAGTTTTATCTCTTTCTTTGGGAACTTGTATACGGTGTATCTCCTTTGATATCAATAACAGATTTCTTGTTTCTCTATTGTTGATTTCTGTTATAATTCTGTGATTGGATAGTGTTACCTATCATTTGGTATCAGAGAAGGTAGATCCGTTGGATGAGAATCACTCGTGCGAAGATGGAAGGACGAGTCATTGAATTGGAGAAGAGTCAGCGGGAATTGCAAGAAGGATTGGAACGGAGTATGAGAGAAATGCAAGCCAGTATGGCGGCGATGCAAGCGGGATTTGCGGAATTACAGAAGAGAAATTCTGATCGATCGAGGAGTCGTTCTCATCATTCGACTTCATCGCATCGCTCACCGAGGCATAAACACACGAAGGACAGCGGTAGCTCAGAAGATTCAGACAATCAATCGGTCCATTCTACATCGCATCATCATCGCGAACCTGACAGGAATCATCGCTATCACTATCCGGTTGGGAGGAAATTGGATTTACCAATTTTTAACGGAGAAGATGTGTACGGTTGGCTGGTAAGGATGAATAGATATTTCCGATTAAATAGAACCGAGGAAGAACATAAGATCGATGTGGCGGTGGTTGCCCTAGAAGACCAGGCCCTTAGCTGGTTTCAGTGGTGGGAAGGACAGGCGAGGCATCAGACCTGGGAGAACTTTACCAAGGATATGACCAAACGATTTCAGCCAGATTTGGTAGAAAATCCTCTGGGACCACTGTTTAGTATGAAGCAAAAAGGAACCGTGAAGGAGTACAGGGCTATGTTTGAAGCAGCTATGGCATCTCAAGGACACCTGACTGATGAGGTATTGAGAGGAGTGTTTTTGAATGGGCTAAAAAGAGATGTGAAAGCTGAATTGAAGTTGCATTCTACACCAACCTTGGCAAGAGTCATGGATACCGCTACCTTGATAGAAAATAAGAACAATGAAATCAGTTTGATGAAGATGAAGGATGAAGGGAAGAAGAAGATACAAAGCAGAAGTCAAAACTGGAATGAAAGTAGTAAATGGAAAAGTTACCAGGGCAGAACTAATGATGCTACTAAGGTGGTGAATGATAACAAGATGAATCAGGAGGTTAAAGATATTCCTATCAGAAGGAGTGGCCCTAGACTATCTCAAGAAGAGCTGATTGATAGAAGTAAAAAAGGGCTGTGTTTCAAGTGCGGAGATAATTGGGGAAGGGGCCATGTATGTAAAATGAAGAATTTCAAGATGATCTTGGTAGAACACTCTGAAGGAGAAGAGGCTTCTGACTTTGAATCTGCAGGTTCTGAAGAGGATAAGACAACAAATTCAGTTCACTTGGACCACAAAACCATGCAGCTTTCCATACTAAGTAGAGAAGGAATACCCTCCATGAAGACATTCAAGGTTAAGGGAAGAATGAAATGGCCTGGAGGTGAAAGATGGGTGAACATTCTGATTGACAGTGGGGCAACTCACAACTTCTTATCTCAGGAGTTAGTGGAGGAATGGAAAATTCCTTATGATCCTATTCAAGGATATAGGGTACAGATTGGGAATGGAGACTGTATACCTAACTGGGGAAGATGCAATGTGGTGGAGTTGTTGATTAGGTGGGACTGATGTAGTACTGGGGATGCAATGGCTGACTGAGCTAGGAAATATGAAGGTGAACTTCAGAAATCAGATCATTAAATGGAAGCAGCAAGAAGCAAAATACATAATCAGAGGAGACACAAATTCAAATCAGATGGAGGTATCTGTGAAATCTATGGCCCACATTATACAACAGTATGGTGGAGGATATCTTCTAGCATGCGAAGTAAAGAATCAGAATCAAGACATACCGAAGGAGAAGGAAGAAATATGGCAGCAGGTAATAGCTGAATTTTCTGAAGTTTTTTCATCTACACTCAAGTTTCCACCTGAAAGAAAATGTGACCATGCTATAAATATAAAGGAGGGTGCTAGTATTCCAAACCTCAGACCCTACAGATATTCCTTTGATCAGAAAAATGAAATAGAGAAAATTGTTGATGAAATGCTGAAATCTGGGATTATTAGGCATAGTAACAGCCCTTATAGTAGTCCCATCCTACTGGCTAAGAAAAAGGATGGAGGATGGAGGTTCTGTGGAGACTATAGGGCGCTAAATAAGGTTACTATACCTGATAAGTTCCCTATTCCCGTCATTGAGGAATTACTGGATGAGTTGGGTGGTGCCAGGATTTTTTCTAAATTGGATCTCAAGTCAGGTTACCATCAGATAAGGATGAGAACCAGTGATATCCATAAAACAGCCTTCAGGACCCATGAGGGTCATTACGAATATTTAGTTATGCCTTTTGGGCTGACTAACGCTCCTTCAACATTCCAGTCACTCATGAATGATGTATTGAGGCCATTTCTAAGAAGATTTGCTCTTGTCTTCTTTGACGACATTCTAGTGTATAGCCAGACTAGAGATGATCATAAACAACATTTAAGATTGGTTCTGGAGGCTCTAAGGAGAAATCAGCTAGTGGCGAACCTCAAGAAATGCTCATTTGGGCAAGAACAACTAGGATATTTGGGTCATATAATATCTGCATCAGGGGTGGCAGCTGACCCTGAGAAAATCCTAGCTATGAAGAATTGGGACACACCTAAAGATCTGAAGGAACTCAGGGGATTTCTAGGTCTTACTGGCTACTACAGGAGGTTTGTGAAAAATTACAGCAGTATTGCTGCTCCTCTGACTTGTTTGTTAAAGAAAGATTGTTTTAAGTGGAGTGAGGTGGCTACAAAAGCTTTTAATGATCTGAAAAGTGCTATGGTCTCAGTTCCAGTTCTCAGGATGCCAGACTTCAACAAATTATTTGTTATAGAGACTGACGCATCAGGGAAGGGTCTTGGGGCTGTTCTTATGCAGGAAGGTGGCCCCATTGCGTATATGAGTAAACAGCTTTCACCTAAACATCTTACAAAATCCATCTACGAGAAGGAATTGATGGCAATTGTTTTTGCAATACAGAGGTGGAGACCTTATTTGCTTGGCAGGGTGTTTGAAGTGCATACAGATCAGAAAAGTCTTAAACATCTAACCGAGCAGAAAGTTATGGGAGAAGACCAACAAAGATGGATATCTAAACTCATGGGATACAACTTTACTATAAAATACAAGCCGGGAATTGAGAACAAAGCAGCAGATGCCTTATCTAGAAAAGGTAATTACTCAGCCTTATCTACCATATACTGCCAGGAGTGGAAAGGGCTAGTGGAAGAATTGGTGGCAGATCCAAAATGTGGGGAGTTAATTCAGAAAGTGTTAGCACAGCCAGACAAGTTTGGGGACTACAAAGTGAAAGGGGGGTTAATCTACTACAAGAGCAGGTTGATGTTACCAAGAGAATCTAACAGGAAGAGTGCAATCTTACAAGAATATCATGATTCTGCTATAGGAGGTCATGCTGGCTATTTTAGGACAATGAAAAGGATAACCAGCATGTTTTACTGGATAGGTATGAAAAAAGATATTCAAAGCTATGTCCAAGGATGTGAGGTATGTCAAAGAAATAAATACCAAGCTTTGAAACCTGCAGGGCTGCTGCAACCACTACCAATACCTGAGCAGGTTTGGGCTGATATAAGTATGGATTTTGTGGGGGGCTTACCTAAATCTCAGGGCAAGGATACTATCCTAGTTGTGGTGGATAGACTGACTAAGTTTGCGCACTTCATACCCTTAACTCATCCTTTTAATGCTAAGGGAGTGGCTGAAGTGTTTGTGCAGGAGGTTGTAAGAATTCATGGGTTCCCAAAGTCAATTGTCAGTGATAGGGATAGCATTTTCTTGAGTTCATTTTGGTCTGAATTATTCAAATTGGCTGGTACCAAACTGAAGTATAGTACTGCATATCACCCCCAAAGTGATGGGCAAACTGAAGTTGTAAACAGGTGCTTGGAGACCTACCTGAGGTGTTTGACTGGTAATGCTCCTAAACAGTGGGTGAAGTGGTTACCATGGGCTGAGTACTGGTTTAACACAAATTATCACAGTTCTTTGAAGTGTACACCCTATAAGGCTTTGTTTGGACAAGAACCTCCTACTCTAATCAGAGGTGATGTCTCTTTGACTGCAGTAGATGAAGTGGCAAAATTAACAGCTGAAAGGAATCAGGTTCTGAAAGAATTAAAAGAAAATTTAGCCAAAGCTCAGAACTTAATGAAACAACAAGCTGATAAGCACAGAAGGGAGGTGACTCTAGCAATTGGGGATAGAGTATTTCTGAAAATACAACCCTACAAGATGAGGAGTTTAGCTAAGAGAATCAATCAAAAACTTAGTCCAAGGTTTTATGGGCCCTATGAGATTGTTGAACAGATAAATCCTGTAGCTTTTAAACTACAACTACCTGAAGGGTGTAGAGTACATCCGGTATTTCATATTTCTTTGCTTAAGAAGGTGCTGAAACCTACAGTGGCTTATCAGAACCTCCCAGACTGTCTCACAGAAGATTGTGAGTTGCAAGTGAGGCCTGCAGAAGTAAGAGGCAGCCGGATGAATAAAGAAGGGAAGCAGGAGATCCTTATTCATTGGGAGAAGCTTCCTGACTTTGAGGACTCATGGGAGGAATTACAAACGATCCAAGAACAATTCCCTAATTTTCAACTTGAGGGCAAGTTGAGTGTTTCAGGGGGGGGTATTGTTAGGGACCCCACTAGTCTAAATGGAGATGACAGATTCTATGGGCAAGTTTATGTACGAAGGCCTAGAAAATAGACTAGTAGTTAGTTAATTAGTTGTTCTGTTGAAAACTAATAACTACCATTCCGTTGTGAATACTATAAATAGAATAAACACTGCAGTGGGAAGGCAGGCTGTTTCTAGACAAGTGTCTTGGCTGGGAAGTTAGAGTTTTATCTCTTTCTTTGGGAACTTGTATACGGTGTATCTCCTTTGATATCAATAACAGATTTCTTGTTTCTCTATTGTTGATTTCTGTTATAATTCTGTGATTGGATAGTGTTACCTATCAACAACCCAGCTTGAGGGGGAGTGGATTTATTTCCTGATTTAGAGAATATTTACTGTTGTACTTTAGATCTGATTTGGTATTAATACGATCTCCTGTATTTTATTCTTTCTAGAAATAGGATATTCTATTGTCTAAATTAGCAGATTGTATAGTTAATGTCTTAAATTCTCTCCCCAATAGGTTGTATAAATATCCTGCCATTCTGAGATAATGAGGACATCACAAATATTCAGAAATTCACATACATAAGTGTAATGACAATTGACAAGGGATACACAGGTACAGAGATCATTGAGGTGGAAATCCCATTCCAATCCCACCCCATCCTTTCATCATAGAGTCGGTGGAAGGGGTGATAGCTTTCACCAAATAATTAGGGTCCCATTGGAATCCAAAAATTACAACAGAAAGAAAGTACGTAGGAAAATAAATAAGAAAGAACCACCTTTGAGGTGTCACATGGATTGGCGGTATAAACAACATAGAAGAAACCCACCTTTGAGGTGTATGAAAATAGCATCTGAAATCCCATTGAATCCCAAATTCAACACTTTCAAACTCGGTATGCCTACACAATGACAAAGTTGAGTGTTACATATTTGGACTAATGATAGTAGAATGTGACGTTTAATTAGGTGAAGAGATTAACCAGAAAACTTGTCACAGCCATCATCAGTCAAATGGCATCTACTAAGATTGAGATACAAGAGAGAACCAAGCGCTGCATAAAACAAAAACAAAAATCCCAAAGTCACACCAAAACAGCTTCTCAGCCAACTTTTCTACCAAAACATTAAACTTTTGATTTCACACATTGAATTGTGTAATAATCAAATAAGTAAGGTTAAAGTTAGTTTTATGGTTGAATTGCTTAAGAGAACTTTTTTAGTTTTTTTTCATATAAAGTAAGGTTGAATTTAGTTGTATGGATTAATTGTGGAATAAAAACCAAGTCATTCGGAAACCAGTCCATGCAATTTTTGACGTGATGTTCATCATGGATCATCCAGAAATAGTTTTTCTATGTTTTAGTACAGGGGTAAGGCTGCATACTTCCGACTCCCCCTTACCCCACCGTAGGTGGGAACCTTTGTGGCATTGGGATAAAGTAAGGTGATATTTTGGGTATCACAATACAAGGTTAAACATGATAAGAGGAGTAACTCAATATCTTATATGTGTGTGTATCTTTATACGTGAGTTGGGGTAACTTAACAATTACAATATACCATTGAAATGAAATTCTAGATGCATGAAAGAGCACCAAGGGGCCACTTGGATCATGGTAAAATGTTAGGTACCTCAACAAAGCAGTAGAAATTTAGTGTTCAATTGATAAAATCTGAGGAACCGATCCAGTACAATGGCACATAACTCTAAATCCACGTACAGTAGCAGAAAACAGAAAATAGAAGAGAAGAAAGGTTTGAGACATTTCGAATCGTCTCGCACTCCCAAGGCCTAATTCCAAATCCAATTTCTGCCTACCCTCTCCCTCTTCTATTCCCTCTATTTATTCTTTTCCAAATGAGGCTTCCCTCAATCTATCTAATTACTTGGCCCAACCCACTATTACATTTCATTAAAATATTAAGCCCATAAGTCCAGGTCTTTATCATCACTCCCCCCTTTGACAACCTATCCTCAAGGTGGGGAGTAAGAGCAGCCATGCCATCCAGCTTCATCCTTGTGCCTCTTCCTTCCTAGTACTTCAGTACTTGTTTGCTGGACAAGGGGCTTCCATACTTGAATCTTCCTCCTCAATTCTTCTAGCAAAAGAATCAATAGATCATCTACCTTTAGAGCATCAGTCCTACTCGGGTGGCTTTGTTCATGCTGGAACTGAACTTTATCAATCATCAAGTGCTCAATCTTACAGTTGCTAACAGCTCTTGCCTCCGGATATAAACCCAGTTCTGGGGTCTCAGTTGCTTCACTCCTGGGAATTGTAGCATCTGACATGAAGTATCCACCAGGACTGATAAGAAGAACCACAGAAACATCAAAGAACTGACTAAAAACAAGGGCAGATTCCAATGTAGAAGTATTAGCGGAAGTTTTCCAATAGTATTCATGTGACCTAGAATTAATTGGAGCAAGCAATCTCATGAGTGGTGCATAACATGCTGCTGTTTCAACTGTGGATAACAAACTGGCATAAGAAAACTCTGCAAGATCTCTTTTCCATTTGCCAACTGCTTTAAACCCTTTTTATGCATTTCAGAATCACTAAAAGGCTGCCTCCCAACTTCAGAGAAACTTGTTGCAGGTTGCAACTTTATTACTAGCAAATTAGTAGGTGAAAATCCATGCACATGGCTTATAACTTTTCGTGTTGCTTCCTCCACAAAAGCTCCTCTCCACTTAATAACCAAGTCCCTGACGTAGTCCCATCTTACTGCGTTAAGAGCAATAACTGGGCAGCACAACATACAAACACCATCAGCTTTAGTCAAACAGTTGGAAGAACCTTTTAGTACGGCAGGCATAGAAACTGGATTTCCAGTATAAGCCATCCACCTAAAACCAACAGCAAGAGGTCCAATGCCCATGTTTCCATTTCCACATTCCCTTTCTAAATCTGCTTCATTACCAGTGTATCTGAGCCGCTGAGCCGCTGGTAGGACAGTAACCACTCTAGAGCACCTCACAGGATGAACAACTGATCTGAACTTCACATGAAGTGCATAAGAGTGAAAACTCAAGTAATAAAACCCAACAATAGTTAGAACATCACCACAAATTATTAACAATGGCCAACTATTAGCAATTTCATCCATATTTTGCTTTGATGAAATTGGAATGGGTGAACTTTGCATGAATGGAACAGTACCATCTTGCTTAGAAACTAAATTTTGAACACCACCAGGTTCTTCCACATTCCAAACTTGGAAACCATACCGACAGCATAAGAGTAAGACTTGGCGGTTTGTGCCTCCCTCAACATTACTGATAAGTGTCCTTCTTTTCAATCCTTCCACCCCATACTGAGGTTTGTACATACAGCCTCCTTTTTCCTTCCATCCCCTCTTGTCTTCATCTCTGAATTTCAATACTGTGCCTACCCGTTCAAAGCTAACATTAATGAAAATGAATTTTGAACCCATTCTGGTTGAGTAATGTTAACTGCTTCCTTCACAGGTTCCCAGGTATAAGTAGTTGTCTGCTCCTTCCCCCACTGAAACCTATTCCGTGCTCTCCCTTTCATTGTGATCCTCCGGTTGCCTTGGCAGTTGCTCTTCCACTATACCTGAGCGAATTCCATTTTCATCCACCTCAGGCAGTTTCAAATCTTCCAGATAATTTGGAGGATATCCGGTAGTTTGAGTCGAATCATCATCCGGACCTGGTTCCTTGATTGATGATTCAGACGGCCTCAACTTCATTGTGAGCGATGAAATTTGAGCACTGTGAGATGAGGCGTGTGATGAAACCTGCAAATTAAGGACATCTGTTTGCGATGAAATCTGAGAATTCGAAGTAATTGTTCGCTGCAAAGCTGGCCAACAGGATGAAGCTGCTGGCGATGAAGATCGGCGAGGAGAACTGGGAGACGACTAATTATTAGGCCTAGCCCACTATTACATTTTATTAAAATATTAAGCCCATAGGTCCAGGTCTCTGTCATAAAATGGAACAAAAGTAGATGGAAGTTTGGAATGAAACCAAATTTGAGAGGGGGGGGGGGGGTTGGTTCAAACTCAATAAAACAATTATATACTACCTCCGTCCCTTGTAACTTTGCCAAAGTTGGCCGGCACAGAGAATAATAAAGAAAAAAGTGTGTGGTTGAGGTTTCTACAGAGGAGAGAGAAATAACATAAACCACAAAATAATTGATTAAAAGGGAAAGTGGCAAAGTTTTTTGGGACGTCCCAAAAAAGAAAGATGTCAAAGTTTTAAGAGACGGAGGAGCATGTATTTTCACTCTTTTATTTATATATCTATATTACTTCAAAACTAAGAAATATAAACATATGGAAATCAACACTGGAGCATTTGTTGTTTTTCTGTCCCTACCATTTTCATGTGTTCCTTATATAGCCTAAGTTAATGTACTTGAGAAATTTGCATTTTCTAACTTGCTCTAAACAACAGAACTAAAGAATTAAAAATAGAAAATAAATAAATAAAAATGCTTAGGAAAGACTCCTACCAATAGCATACCTGAAAGAGATTCCAAGCATGCAGCTGTTATAGGGCAACCTTCCATGTTCAGAAGTGTTAGTTTGTTCAAAGCTGCAGCAATGACGAATTATTCATTCCACAACTCATTGGATTGGATAGATACAACTATAAATATAAGATTATTAGGCATGGTGAAATCCAGTAATTACCTCGCAGAAATGTGACACCATAATCTGTGACCTTGTTGGACGCAACTTGCAAAACCTTCAAGTTTTTTAGAACTGAAATTGGGGCAGGGCAAGAGGGTAAGTTACCTAAATTCCTTTTGTTACTACAACTAGTAAAAATGCAACAATCAACTAATATGATCAGAAAAAAGTGAAAAATGATACTGATTATAGAGAGTATTTTACAAAATTAAGTGTGTGTATACATGGATACAACACCAATAACAACAACATTCAAGCCTTATTCCCAAAAAGAGAAGTAAGATAAGAAGGATTAAAACATAAAGTAACATTAAATGGATAACATGAAAGTAAACATAAGATAATAGTAACATAAGAACATAAGAAAGATAAAAGATAAAAAGATCAAAGAGCATAAGAAAGATAAAAGATAAAAAAACATAAGAACATAAAAAAATAAAGAAGATACTCCCTCCGTCCCTTAGAACATGGTCTGATTTGACCGGCATGGAGATTAATAAAGTAAAAAATGTGTGGTCGAGATATGTGCAGAGGAGAGAGAATTAACTAGAACCACAAATTGTTTACTTAAAAGGGAAAGTGGCGAAGTTAGTGGAACAAACGAAAAAGGAAAGTTGGCAATTTTTTAAGGGGCGGAAGGAGTAAAAGATTAAAAAAATAAGGGAGAAAAGAAAGAAAAGATATCAATCATACACATGAATATGCGATCTACACTTTGCTCTTTCCAAAGCATACTCTTATACAACCCAAGAAGAAGCATATCAGTTCTACGCCATACATTAATGCAGACCTAATTGTTGTCCTATCAAATTTAACCCTCAGTCTAGTCGGCATACCACGATCACATAGAAATCCTAATGCACTCTTTCATTTCATTTAGTCTACTCTGATTCTATGGGATACATCTCCATCTAACTCACCATCCTTTTGAAGTATGGAGCCCAAGCAACGGAACATATCACACACGGGTATTACTCTTGTCATCAGGGATAATCCCAATGTTACTATCACTTCTACCTCCACCAAACATGCACTCCATATATTCAGTCTTGCTTCGGCTTAGTCTGAAACCTTTGGTCTTCAATGTTTGTCGCCATACTTCTAACTTTGTTTTAGCACCCGCTTACATCTCATCAATCAATACAATATCATCGGCAAACATCATGCACCACGGTATATCTTCTTGATACTGATACACTTACGTGATATACCTTTTATAGTTATGGCCCACCAAAGAACACCAAGTGTAGATCTTTTTTGCTGTCAATATACTTCTTCACATTTGTCTAAAAAGGTGAATGACTTCAAATGTTGAGCGTCCAAGCATAAAACCAAATTGTTTCTCATAAATTTTCACACTTTTTCTGAGTCTTTGCTCAACCACTCGGCCTAAAAGTTTCATTGTGTGACTCACAAGCTTAACCCCTCGATAATTGGCACATTCTTGTACATCATCCTTATTTTTATATAGCGAAATGAGGGTACTCTTTCGCCAACTCACTGCCATTTGTTGTTTCTTCAAATCATGTTGAAGAAACGTGTTAGCCACTCGATGTCTTTCTCTCCCAAACATCTTCAGGCGTCAATCGGTATGCCATCTGGACCCACTGATTTCTTCTGCCCCATTTTTCTCAAAGCCTTTTAACTTATGTCGTTTGGATCCTTCCCACGAAGTCCCGATTTATCATACAATCTGGTCTCGTAACCTCATCAATACCTTGCATTTTATTCCCGTTGCACAAGGTATCAAAGTATTACCCCCACCTCTCTTTTATTTCCTGATTCTCTATTAGTACACTTTAATTGGCATCCTTCACACACTTAACTTGTCCGACATCTTGAGTCCTACAATCACAAAGGCGGACAAATTTGTAAATGTCTTTTTCCTTACAACTCCTTCTTCACTTTCCCTCTTGCTTCCTTTACGTCTTTGTTTTCTTTTAGCCTCTTTGTACTCCTCTATGTTCTCATTGCTCCAATTTTTTTTCCAACTTTTTGTAGTATTCCATTTCACCTCATCATTCCACCAAGATGTGTCCTTTTTTGGTAGGTGACATCCTTTAGATTCTCCAAGTATCTCTTTCTACACTTTGTTAATGGCCGACTCCATTGAGAACCACACATCATCTACATGTACATCATTATCAATACACCATACATCTTAATTCAACATTTTGTGTGCAAAACTTTGTTGGAGATCCCCCTTGAGCCTCCACCACTTTATCTTCAGGTATATACATGGATATCTCAAAAAATATTTGAAATGAAAAACAAATACAAACCCAAATGACATTCATACGATTCATGGACTTCCTTTTTACCCTTCTCTTTTCAACGGATTTCATTTGTGCTTCACTCATCACTTATAGGTTATGTTTAAAACACGAAAAGTGTAGGGAAAGTGATCATCAACACCAAGTATTTAACTAGAAAAATATGAAAACTTAATAAAATTTGATTCAAACTTTTTGATTTTTTACATAATACTTCCAAATTTTGAATGGCCATTGAGAATAGAAAGGGGTGTAATATTGAGAATCATAACACAAGAAAGAGATACCAGTAAGAGACTTTATATCAGAGTCTGTGATGCAATTGCAACAATTGATGTTGAGAGATTCAAGTTTGGTAAGGCCTGCAGAAAGTTAGAAGCATGAAACTCGAAACTTTTTAAATATTATAATAACTACTATAAAGTTTGTGTCTCATATATTATATTGTACAAACACAACCTTCAATCCATGCAAATAATCCCTAAACAACAACATTTAATCCTTATTCCCAAAAGATTTTGGGGTCGGCTAACATGAATCAATACATGATACCGGAGCCAAAAAGAAAAGAAAAGAAAAGAAAAGAAAAGGTAAGATAACAAGGATAAGATAATAAATACGTAGTATAAGTTAAAAGAACATAAGAAAGATAAGGAAGATAAAAAGATAAAAGAAAAAGAGAGAGAAAAGTTAAATGGAATTAATTTAGTTAAACAAAAACCAATTATTAATACAATCCCATGACTGTGTACCTTGCCAACATTTAAAAATGTTGTAACTTCACAAAACAAGACATTTTTTGTATGCAGGTAATAAATCTATCTTCTATCCGTTATGATCAACAACCACAACATTACCTCATGCCGCAAAGGCTCCCACCTACAGCGGGGTAAGGGGGGTTGGATGTAAGCAGTCTTACTCCTGTACTAAGCAATAAAGCACAGAGAGACTATTTTCGGATGACTTTCAGAAAATCGTATGGACTGACTGTTGCTTCATAACAAAGAAGCGCAGGCAGTTTAGTGAGTCATTTTGCTTAATTTAAATTAAACTTCAAATTTAATTTTATACTCAATCTTTAGAAGGGAAAAAGACACAAAGTGGAATTAACCTCTAAGGTAGACGAGCCCCCCATGGATCTTAGGAGATCTCTCCAAGTCCAATTTCACCAAATTGATTAATCCAGACAGAGCACTCATTCCCTGAGCTGTAACCATGTTGTTTCTTCTCAAACTTAGGCTTGTCAGGCTTGTAAGGCCTGAAAAATCAGATCAGATGTTAGTCAGCTCACGCTACCTTTCTCATTAAAGAAAAATGAAAAACGAAGAAAACTCTTTTTAATTATACTTTTTCCTTCATATTGCTAACTGATTTAATGAGACTAATAGCTTCGGCTCCATTTGGCAACCATTGCTGGCTAACTCGAACAAAAGTAGTGAGCTTTTGACTTTCTTATTTTGCTGAACTAAATGTTACCCTGACGTTTTTTCTTTTATAATATTTAGCCATTTCAGCCAAATAACCCTTGTCCAACGGACCTTTCGTTTACTAGCCATAATCAACATATTTTGTTTCAACAAGAATAAGCATTAAATTTTCTAGTAGTTAGTCAAACTATTCTGCTTGTTAGTACAATAACCACAATAAGTAGCATTTGAGCCCTTGATGATTTTTTGGCTGAGTCTCATCCCAATCAGGATTATCATCATGTTCAACAGATACTATAAATTTAATAAGGAGTAAATACACACACAAAAGTAGCATTTGACCGATATATATGTCTGAAATCGATTCCATCCAAATAACCCTTACGATATGGGATCTCAGTAACTTTTTACTTACTTATTTGGCTGAAAGTTACGACCAAATGTTCTTTCTTTTAATCAACTCGACAGATTAATTTCTGCCAAGTAACGATTACTAAACCGGTCTTAAACGGCTATATTTGGATTTCATGCCACTGATCCAAACATAGTTTGGTTTCATGCCAGTATGCCACCAATCCAAACATAGTTTACTCAAGTCAACCGTGATGGTGTGAGTTTGCCTCACTTCTACTTCTATGTCTCCCTTCATTTCAGTTAGGTAGCACCCTTTTCTACCCTTAGTTTTCTTTCAGACAATGGGTAGGATAGGTATGTCACTATGTCAGCTACTGCACAATGGGAGGGACAGAACATACAGCAAACATGCTCCAGCCCACGGTCTGAAATTTGGTCACAGTAGTTAAAATTCAGTTCTTGAAGATTTTTGCAATCTTTTAGCTGTGCCATTCCATAATCTGTCACATCAGAAGCAGAAAGATCCACAGATAGAAGAGATGAACCCTGTGAATATATGACGTCCATCCAACTATCATTAAGGCCCGGGTATTCTCCCAAATTAACATCCTGCCAAAAAAGTTAGCAATAATTATGAAATATATCTAATTTAAACCATTCTTGTCAAAATCTGAATTACAAGCCTGGGCACCGCTTAATTCCACCTAGTTCTCATCTAAACAGCTGAGTAGGCGCTAGGTCTCAGGCTAACGTGGCAACCATGTTACTCTCCAGATCATAGTTGTCAATGGCGCAATATGGCTCCGTATGCGCCATGTGGCGATACAGAGCCTGCTCGCCACAAAAAGCCCTCTCGTGATGATTCTACATGTACCGGCGCATATTGCGTCATCGCAATGCCATGTGAGCCATGTTTTAAGCAGATTTTAACAGGTCTACTTAGTTACTTTTGGGCTATGGCCCTGATAATTTATTAACTAATCAGTATGCCCGTAATATTAATATAACTCCTATTAAGAAGTAAATAAAGACACCAGCTAAAGTAAAGCCGGAAAAAAGCTGCAACAAGCGTAAAGACAGAATCAGAAAGCTGCGCAAGAGTGGGAGACTTAAGGGGAACTACAACACATTAGCTGCCAGACAAATATGAGACTTGAAGATCCTTCTAAGAGTGAAATGAATGAGGATGATCTTCCATTGTTATCATATTCAGATCCAGATGATGATGATGATTATATCATAATCATCAAAAAACAAGTTGACATATTTTGGAAAGAGACATGAAACATTTTTTTGGATATAAAGGATTTGCATTTTGTGTTCATTGACTTAGAAAAGACATATGATAGGGTACCTCAAGAAGCCCTTTGGTGGGGCCTTAACTAGAAAAGTCATATCACGTAAGTATATCAACATCATCATGAATATGTATGAGGATTGTACTATAAGTGTCCTTACTGGTGTAGGGGGGACTGCAAAGTTCTTTATTACTATCGTAATGCACCAAGGATCGGCTTTGTGTCCTTTATTATTTGTTATGGTCATAAATGAACTTACGAAGTGAATTCAAGAAGAATATACTTGATGATATTGTATTCATAGATGAGACACAATCATGTGTTAAAGCAAAGTTGGAATATGATGATAAACTTTGGAGAACAAGGGGTTCAGGCCGAGTCAAAGCAAGACTAAGTATATGGAGTGCAAGTTTGCTTGAGGTAGAAGCGGTGGTAATAGTGCGATTACTTTAAATGGTAACGAGCAGTGATATCTTCCGTTATAATTTGATAGTTCAGAAGGACGGTGAACTACTAGACTACTAAGTATATGGAGTGCAAGTTTGCTTAAGGTAGAAACAAACTTATAATTTGCGATTACTTTAAATGGTAAGGAGATACCAGTCACTGATATGTTCCGTTATAATTTGATAGCTCAAAAGGACAGTGAACTATAGACTGAAGGGTAAGTTTTATAAGACAACAATTTTTGTTGTAATTTATTTTTAGAAACTATTTTAACTTAACATCTTTTTGGTTAGAATGTGGGTATTCAACTCTTTTGCTCACATTTTGGTGCTTGAATCATAGATTTGTACTGTCTATAATTTGTACTTTTGGTATTTATTTTTTGTGTCGTGTGGCGACGCCATAAATGCATCATCGCCCATCACCAGACAAATGCCTTCGCGCCATGACTGTTGTTAAACGCCATGACAACTATGCTTCAGATGTTCAACATCTACATCGGTTGTCTATTTGGGTTTGGGTCAAGTATATAGATGTGAGGTTTGGACGTTTGGTAAATGGTAAACCAGGAGAACCCCCTTTAGAGGTTGTCTGAAATAAGCTTCGCCTCTTGAAGATTCTTTTGAGCTGAGTTGTACCCAATTTAAAACATATGAATGCAAGATACCTGAAGAGCACAATCCCGAAAAGCTTCAAGTCCGACTTCATTGAGGCTTTGTGAATAAACCAACTCATCAAAGATTTGTTGACTTATATCCCTCGGCAGCATTGAGAAGCTGTTATATTTGTCTATGTCCTGTCATTAAAAATGTTGTAGAGTCAGTGTTTATTTTGCACAAAATGAACTACTGTGATGTTTTTATCAAAGCACAAACAAATACAAACATACTTCACAAATTGTAGAGATGCACAACTCCATGAGTGATTGGCATTTTCTATTTCCATCTTTGGCATTGAAAGATGATCGAGAAGATGAACTCCCGAGCCACTTTGAACTACTACTCTTGCAATAATGTCCTGGCACTCCTCTATGTATGTTGTGATCCTCAACCAACTGGTCCCGCTTCCTAGAACAAACACCTCCCATCTAAAGCATCCACTCTTGATAGTGGGATCTACATGAAATCTACTCTGTATCCTGCCTGAAAAAATAGTAAATTGTTTCCAAATATTTAGAAAGTCAAAATAAAACAAGAATATCAAACCTTGTTAGCCTAAAATTCAACTTTATTTCTTTAATAAATGTTGCACAAGGACATTCCTATAGTAGCTCAGTATCACATATCATACTACCTGAAGGCCTTCTCTATTTTCCAATGACGTGTTTGTCAAGTGAAAGATCACACAGCTACATAAAGTATTAGTACACCACACCTAAGAGGCAAAGATTATGGATTAGTTGTCATTTATACCATTTTATTTCTTTTTCAGTGTAATCACATGCATTCCTCTTTCTTGGCAATAGGACATGTGCTCAAAAAAGACACTGTTAACACCGGCAGTTGGTTTTTATTGGCCAGAAGGAAGCAAATTCTTAAAATTTAAAGTTCTAAATAAGCTCCGCAGCATATAAGAGCATGAGGTACCTTGACCTTCAGCCTACATAAGGCGAATAAGTCCATATTTTATCCATGTTGGATACTTATAACAAAAATGATATTTTACTTGACAGTGAACACTCAAATTTTCATGAACTCATTGTGTTTACAGATTACAGTATATTATTTGGTTCATAGTCTGCATGTAGTTAAAAATTATGCGGATTATGACTCAGATCACTTCATAAAGCACTCCATGCTGCAACCTTTAGATTGCATACTTATATACTATTGTTAAAGACATACAGGAAAAACTGGAAGGCTGAGCCCTATATTCCTATCCTCTCTCTTTCCTACAAAAAGTGCTGTCTTTAGCTTGGACAACTAAGGGCCCGTTCGATAAGTGATATTTGACTGAAATGATAAGAAAAGCCTATTGTGACCTCCATTTCAACCATACAAGTGAGTAAAGCAGCACCAAACGGAGCCTAATTAGTTTCCAGTACCACCCTTTTTCTCTCTTCATCATATCCCCTTGTTGGTCTTTTCTCAACTCTAGTGAACGGAAAATAAGGGAAACTTGAAGAAAATCGCTAACCAGAATTTTGTAATGAAAGTTGCAAGAAAAATAAAACCTTTGCAAGTGGATTCATTTTTTATCACAAATAAATTAAATTTCAACACAAAAAGAAAGTAAAAACCAAAGGACAGAAGCAGCACAACAGTGTAAAAGGTATTGATTGAAATCAATTGAATAACGGGGGAAACGAACCTTCAGGCTGGAAAATCTGCTGAGGATCACTTTTGTAGTTATGTTCAAAGTGTAGGGAGAGAAGTAGTAAGTTTTCAGAAGGGGGAGATGATCAAGAAGCCGAAGCAGAGTGCGAGGCAACGGATACATGCCACGTGGAAGAAAATGCTCGGTCTGTGGAAAGGTTCGGGAGGCCGAGATGTTCCGATGCTTGCGTGAAAGGGATGAACGGGGTCCCACTTGGGTCTCCCTTTTTTGGGGCTTTATCCGAAAATCACATGCGGTCCCCACTTACGGAAATCACGCGTGTAGAGTAACTTTTTTTTGTCCTAGTAGTATGAATGATGTAACTTTACGCGTGTAAAGATATGTAATTCCCGTTATTGATCAATGTAACTCAAGTCAATTCGAAACGTAACTTATCGAATACATACTATAAGAAATAAAACATTGATTTCAATTCAAACAATGAAAAAAAAGTCTAACTACACAATTACTTTACGTAAATGGTGATTATGTTTTGTTTTTAATATCATGACCATCATAAGGATTTAAAAAAAAAACATTTTTTTGTTTCAATAGCAGGGGGTTATTTTTTTATGTAACTCGTGCTATTACAAATGTAATTCGCGTTGATGACATATGTAACTTGCGCTTCAAAAGATGTAACTCGCTTATAAAATAATGTAACTCAAACATAAAAATATGTAACTCGCGCATGAGAAGGTGTAACTCAAATATAACTTCAGGAATCATGTATATATGTAACTCACATATATAAAAATGTAAATCACATACATGAAAATTTAATCACCTGTTTTATCATATGTAAATAGAAATTAAAAAACTCTATGTCTTATAAAAAAAAACCTGCGAAAGAGATAAAGATTTTTTTCGGAAATATATTATATAAAAAAGTAATTGTAATCATATTTTTAATATTTTAATAAAGGAGATGAACAAAATTGAAAAAGAAAAGAAGTAAAAAGAAGAAGAAAGAGAATTAGATGAGAAAGCAGGCAAGAGAAAAAAGTGGAAGCAGGGAAGGAAAAGTTAAAATGTTTTTACTTGGACTGTAATTTGCTGGTCTTGCCTGATTTGGTCTGGTCTGGTAAGGTCTGGTTTCTTTGTATTTTTATAACTATCCAAGTCTGGTCTGGTCTGGTCTGGTCTGGGACAAATTACAGTCCAAGTAAAAACATCCTTAGTGGAAGCATGGACATGGTGCAGAAGAGTAAAAAATCTAGAGGAAGCTGCGTGCGAACGTCAGTGCTTGACGAAAAAAGGCAGTAATGGGATTGGCACACCATGCGCATGGTGTGTCGATCCCACGGTATAATTTGCGCGTATGGATTGATTTTATTGAAATTTATGAAATTTTGTTAATACTTAAATCAGATGTATTGATTGATTCTGCTGAAAATTGTGAAATTTTTTCTGAAATTGCTGGATTGACTCAATCTGGTGATTAATGAAAAATTATATTCAAAATATATTCCATTAATAAAATAAAATAAAAAATTATTTTTGAAACACTCAGAAGTACTTCTTCACTTTCACTCAAACACTTCAATATATGTTTCTCTTCCTTGAAGGAGCAGAATCATTTTTAAGAAGTAGACATCTTTTTTTTACGAATCGAACCGACAAAGGCCTGAATCTCAGAGGATTGTGGCACCAAGGCCACTCGACCGCGTACAGTACCACGCCACGTATTTAAGTCGTTTGCAAAGGATTCTACTTGTTGCCCGATCAGAATTGTGTTTCAAGGCAGTCACCACGACTCTTCCGCCATGGTGGCTTGACCATCCACACGTGCCCTTGGGGGCTTTGGGCCCCTACTGCGGGTCGGCAAATGATGGACAACAAGCGCATGCATCGGTCTAAACCAGATTCTGACTTAGAGGAATTCAATCATAATCCGACGCACGATAGCTTCACGCCACTGGCTTTTCAACCAAGCGCAATGACAAATTGTGTGAATCAATGATTCCTCTATGTATACATCATCTTGCTATTCTTGTCAAAAACGTTTTTGTCTGTGAACGGGCTATTCAAAGATATAAAAAAATAGTTGTTCATAGACTTGTGTAAAATGCATGGTGTATACAAAAAAATGTGTACAAATAATTTTTTTCCTTAAAAATTTGCCCTAGTAGGTCGTGCAAAAAAAAGCAAATCGAACCGAATCAAATCAAATTTGATTTGGTTTGTTACAATATATTTTAGTAATTATTAGGATTCTAATATTGGTTATGTAATTGGAGTTATGTATTATTAATAGAATTCATATAGTTCTAGACTTGTAATTGGTTTTGTGTTAGGTTGAACCTATGTTTGAGTCTGTCTAGGACTAGAGTTCGTCAACCCTCTTCTCTGCCTCTATGTATATGCGTATTTTGTATGGAATAATAAGACAATATAATTAATAGATCTCTACAAGTCAAAAATCTCATAACAGAAAAGGCCAGAGATGATAAGGGATTTATTCTTGATCATTCATTTATCATGGATCCAGGTTTTCTTAAATCTCAATCAATCAATATATAATTATGTATAATTATATGATGTCGCTCTTGAAATTTAATCTTACAATTAGCATTAAAGTATAATCAATCTTACATCATGAATATAATTATACTCGAATATGATCATAATTCGTTTGTTCGTAGAATGTAGTTTTGTTCAATTATTGTGGTATGGCATACAAATTAACCATATATATGTGGTATGTAAAACATACATTTTAATAAAACTTCTCCAACTTCTCCGTCTCTCCAACCTCATCGATAAAAAATTGTTCAATGCCCTTGATGGCTTGAAATCGACATGGTCTCACCAAGCCTTGGTGACGTGCGAGTGCACCATAGTGCTCATCTCTCTCGCCAAAGGCGCGCACGATCACAGTCACTTCACATCTCTGGCTCGAGACGATTTTGTACGGATACATCGGCTACCTTCTGTAGGACCTCAGCTTCGGGGTCTACTACTTGGGAGTTGGGAATCGATAATTATAGTTCCAGCGGCAATCCGATTTCCAAAATCCAAATAGAAGCATTCTAGGGGAACCATTAGTGGCCGTTGATGATTTTAAAGTGTGTCTTCGCCAATAATATGCACACCCCGCTATGGTTGTGACATTCATTGATCTGCAAATTAGCCTTTTGATCAGCAATGACCTACATAAACTCATCATGGAGATTCTTGACGGCATCTCAAGGTAATTTCATCACTGAAAATAGTGAAATGTATATATTGTGTTTTATTATGCCTGCTCTCTTGTATACTACTATTATGAGAATTTATTTTTCATTTATTGGCTACTTACTATCTACGTACTCTCTGTTGTTTTCCAAGTTTGGTTTTGGTCATACATGTTCTCTTAATGTGAGGTAAGGCCCCCACCATCAAGCGACAATTGATATATAGTTGCTGATATCATCAAACGTCGATATGAAAATGTATCTAGAAATAAAGTGTATATTCCGAATATCATTTTTATTCTTCTATTATTTACATACTCTGCATTCACTTTGTACTTACTTGTAATGTTATGTACTTTTTAGGTTAAGCGTGATGCTCAGTATGAGTTTAAGGTGGTGGACAAAGCATCATGTAGAAGTTTGTTGTATGTTAATCTCAAAGAAAAAACATGCTCATGCTACGAGTTTCAACCGGAGTAGTTCATACATGTCAATGGTGTTGCCAATGTAGGTCATCGTAGAGGATTGTCATGTTACGATGACGTCTCTAATATTGGTTCTTGCATTGAATCAAACATTCTTGATTATATGCAGTCCATAACGTGCAATCCACCAATATGCCTCGCACTCCAACCCGGTAGACATAAAAGGAAATGTATACCTTCAGTTAGAGATTTTGTTTCTTGGCAGCGCGACGGTGTTCATGTTGTAAGAAAGACGAGCATAATAATAAGTGTTGAGGTTTATTCCTTCAACCTTCAAGCCCAACACGTAAGCCCAAAGATTTCGAATGGAGTGTGTGAATAAACTAGCCCAACAAGCAGATAATAGGGGTCAAGAAACAGTAAGGTAGCAAGTAAGTGATTAGGTATTATTATCTCTTAATAACTCCCTAATACAATACTTTTCGCTAAGGCTCCGTCGGCCGTTCGTCTTACAAGGCAGTAGAAATGCTGCGAGTAAGAACGTTATAGCTAGAGTGCTAAGAATAGAAAGTTGCCAACCCTTTACAATGAAATAAATGCTTCTATTTATACCCGCCAATGGGTAGGTGGCTACGCTGACGTGGAGGCCTGTGGGCCGCTGGTGTCCCAACCACCAAATCTTCAGCATTAAATGCACTTCCCGCCAGAATCTAGGTTTCCCGCCTAAATAGTGGGGACGTTCGTCCGTCCGGGAAGCGAGCTAGATTCCCCCATGTGCCCCTTAAGAGGCTTCGGCAGTTCGTCCCCTGGCCTTAATGGATTCTCGCCATGTGGACTGGATTCCCCCTGATAATTACGGGTTCGCTCTGGGGACGTTCGTCGTCATCCCTGATGGCCCGTGGCCCTGCTCCTTGTCCCTGCACAGACGTTCGTCGCGATGGGCCATTGAACCTGAACCCCCCAATTCCAGACGTCCGTCTCTTCCGAAGAGTCATGGGCCTGCGTCCAGCCTGGTGTCCTAACCGGACGTGCGTCCGATAGAAAAGGGGTTAATGGGCCGGACCTCGGCCTGGGCCATTATCCCAATAATAAGCATTGTAGGAATCCAAGTAGATACATGGTTCTTAAATTCGATCACATACAATGTTCTATCACAAGCCAACCTGGTAAACCTAAAAAGAAGTGTATTCTTTCAACTGGAGAGTTTGCTTTCCGGCAACATTGTTCACGATGTAAGAAAGGCAGGTTGTTGATTCCCACACCGAAAACGTGTGAAAGAATTCAGTGATATATTAAGATCTGGATTACTCCCCTTATTAGGTTGACCTTTTAAGATAGAACTCTGGGTCTTAACATGGTATCGGAGACAATTCCGATTGTGGTTTGACTGCTTGTTTAGCACCCATGATTACGGGTAGCTTGTTACGGGTCTGTTTGGCCCATTTATACACCCCGATATTGTCCAGTCTGGTTCGGGCTGAGGGGGCGTGTTAGAAGTATTTGTCCCACACCGAAAAGCTATAAAACAACAAGACACTATATA